ACTCAGATATACCTGTCTAAGGTTCAGATTTCCCCACAGAACAGCTCACATTTTTGCTGGAGTCCCACTTTTCAAAGTAGAACAAACAGAAGCTGAATATCACTTTCCTTTGTTGTGGTGCTACAGAAAAGGGACTCAATTTGAGTACTGCAGGGGATGCCAGAACTCTGTCAGAGGACATGCCATAACAGCCACGGATGTTAATAAGCCCACGGGTTGGCCTTGGAGAGCACATCAAGTCCAGGCAGAGACATTGTTCCTCTGCTCACTGCCTACAGAAACTTTGGTGGTGGAAACAGTCTCTTAAACAGTTTCAGAATGGAGAAGACTTTCATTAAATGTATTCAAAGCTGAAAAAGCGTTAAAGGGTGCAAATGATTTGATGGGAGAGCTAGGCCTGAAAAAGCTCTTACATAATAGCATAAATTTAACAAATTCATTTGTTGAAATCCTCATTAAAAACAGCTTCTATGCACCTTGATCTGGAAAATATTCTCACAGTTAAGGGGAAAAAAAGTTTTAAATGGCACCCATGTCCATGCAAAGCAAATGGATCTCAGCAGGCCAGAGGGCCCATAACAGTAGATCAATGTTTTCCATCCACACAGGCAATGTGACTTACTCCTTTTACCTGACTCAGCTACATAAATCATGATTGTCAGAACAGAGCTTTGCTCCTGCAGAAGTCCAAGGAGCAGAGAGCAGTCCTTTATCTCACAAACAGAACATTTCCATTGCTTTGGCATCAAACTTGTGTCAGTGAAAAGACTGCACTCTAGCTTTGCAGAATGGTTTGTGCTTTAATCCACCTGTCCTCACCACACCACAATGTCACTTCACCCCACAGCTGGTCACCTTATCCTGCTTGCTTCAGAGCACTTCCAAATGTTATGTGCATCCACAAAAAATGCAGGTATTTCTGCAGGGTGCCCTGGCAGCCAAGCAGCAAACAAAACAAAGAACTTGGGAGATGGGGATAAGTGTCAGCTTGGGCGAAGATACCAGAGTACAAATGTGCCTCTTACAATACTCAAGGATCTTTAGCACAGAGGAGGCCAAGTCTCAGCAAACACAGTGTGGATCATAAAAAAAAAAAAAAAAAAAGAAAAAAAAAAAAAGTCCTAAGGAAATTAATTCAGGATCTCCACATAATATAACTGCCTCAATTGAGGTTTTACAAGTCAGTCTTGGCTCTTGGTACCAGACAGGCAACCCTGGTTTTCACTGAGGTCCTCTGGGAACTGGGACAAACCCACTGACTCTTCCAGATTTGTACAGCTGTTGATGAAAATTTAGGAAGCAGGAGGAATTAACACATTCCCCTCTTCCTTGGATATATCACTTTTATGGGATGATTTTCCCTTTTTTCACCTGCTTGCAGACTATAGCTGGGGAGCAGGCCACTTTTACAGTCACTTTTCAAGTACAGAAAATATTAATGTATTTAATTGCTATTTTAAATGAATTCTTGTAATGATGATAAATCCAGCACAACTGTGAGATGGGTGAAAGTAGAACAAGTCACCTGTGACTGATGACAAACATCGCTTAACACACTCAGAGCCACCAGGGTGATGGCTGCAATGAAATGACCTGGCCAGAATAATCCACTAATGCCTATGAGACAGAGTTCCCAGCTGTCACAGAGCAAAATGAGCAGTGCTCAGCCTGTGTCAGAAGGACGATGGAATGAATCGGCTGCCAGAGACTTGAAAATGCAATGCAAGAAGTTTAGTATTACCAGTTCAGTGCTTAAGGCACTGAGGAATGCCCTCCAGAGCTAACTGTTTATATATAATGTAAATAGTATAAACAGCTAAGTGCCGAAGGGCATATACATACATATAGATGTATGTATAAAAGAAAGACAGAATATTTTATCTGTTTCACTCTGCTCCACGAAAAGTAACAACACCATATAAATAAACAAATGTCAGCTCTTGGGAAGTGCACGAAGGCAGAAAGTACAAAAGCTTCCCTAGCTGCGTCCCGAAGAATAAATCTCTCATTCACACACGCCCACATTCATTGGTCCAGCTAAAAAAATCTGATCTCCAGTCAGCAATTAGAAAATGCTGTTGCTAAAGATACTTTCTCAAAAATCAAAGTAACAATGTTAAATTGAGGCCAAACCAAACTCCTCTAAAAACTCTCTCTTCTGCCAGTTCTAAACTGCCCACTGGGAAAAGATAATTATCAAATAATAGTACCAACAATGTCAGATAATCACTTCAAGCTCTTTGATACATTCAACGAAACATTGTTTCAAATGTTACCAAGTGTCAAATATTTACTTTTGAGTCCAACTGTGTAAATGACCCATCCAGTGCCACTAAACACTGCAGGCACATGTGTAACAAGAGCAGTGGGACCTGCAAAGCAGAGGAAACAGCCCAGCTGGGTTTTGCAGACAAAAGAGCGTCCTGGTAGCCAGAGCTCCCCAGCGAGAGTTATGACTGCCTTTGCACTTATCTGTGTGGAGCTGTGGGGGTTTTTTTTAAACTGGTGGACCTACAGCAAGGCATAAGGAGCTTTACATTCCCCTTGGAGTCGGCTGTGTGTCCAGTCTCACAGGCTCAGAGTGAGACTCGAACCCATGCTCCTGTCTTGTACTTCCCTGTGCTAGAGCTGTACCTGCCACACCTGAAACTCAGAGCTGCCCCTTGCTCCAGGACCCTGAGCACCCTGTCTGCTGCAAGGAATAAATCTGGAATTAGAGGAATAGCACATATAAGGCATGCACTGGATTTCCTCTTGAGAATCACTCCAGAGAGGATGAATTCTGCTTAGAGATTGTTCTCTTCCCATCCATTTACAATGCACAGGACAACAGGCTTAGTCTGCCTGGTCCTTCCTCTTCTAGTACTCTTGGAATAACCGGCAGGGATAACTCCTTTTCCAGCTATTGCTGGAATTGGAATATTGGAGGAAAAGCAAGGCTCTCTTCTTTCCTGGTCCAGCCCTGCCCTCTGAATTTTCAAGAACAGGAAAAACAAAGCTGTACTACCTCAAAGCCGCATGGCCCTCAGCCACTTTAATTCACCCCACTCAGACCCCACTGTGTTTGGCTATTCCTTGTTAATATTTGCAACACTGTTGTAAGGAGCTCTTGGGACGGAGAAGCTGTACCTCCACAACACAGAGGTGTGACTTTGAACCAATGCCTTTCTCTGTTTCCTAATCAGAGCAGCAAATGAGGAAATGTCAGTGTCAAGCACAGAGTGGGAGGATGTGCAGTGACACCTTACAACAATGCTGTTCCATCAGCCAGCATTTACTCGGTGTCAAAACATGGTTCAGGGCCCCAAATGTCATGCTCACTGAAGTCACACACCTTGTCAGCATGATTACCGAAGGCTGGTGTGCAAAAATGATGGGAACTTTGTCAGACCTTTTGCTTCTCAAGGTCACGTGTGTGTGTGGAGTTTTCTGGGAGGTAATGCAACACACAACATAGCGCGAGGGCTGTGCATATAGCATCTCCAGCAAGCAGCAGGCTAATAGCCATCAGTGATATCTCAGAAACAAGAACAACCTCTCAGCACATAAAAGATGAAAATCTTTCAGTATTTTCTTGGGAGTTGTTTCATTTAGCATTTCCAAACAGCTGTCTCCAGCTATTTCATGATAATAGTAACAACTAGCAAAAAAAAATATTCAAAACAAACAAACAAAACAAACAAAAAAAACCCCTCACATAGGCCTGTTGCCTGTTTTCTGAAAGTGAATTTTTCTGGGACATACACTATTAGGTAAAAGCCCTTTTTTTTCCCCATAAGGCAAGTGCAAAGCATTACATTAATACACACTGGAAAAATAAGATAATGGCTTTCTTGATTGTGACGAGGAATGTGGGGAGATTTAATCTGAACACTGAGTCAGGTGGAAGCGCCTAAACTCCCCTTGGACACAATGTTATCGCATTTAACGCTTACATCATCACCCTCACGAATGATGCTGAGTAACGCAGCCCCAAACGTCGATCCACGCACCGCACGGGTAAGGAGGGAGAAACGACCACAAAGGTCCCGTTTTAGCATACGTCAGGCACTAAGAAAGATAAGTTTGATGTCTGGAGCAGAGGGAGCGATCTATTTTCAGCTGTTCGAATAGCAGCCGCGGGCCTATCAGGATGCAGTCACTCCTCTCAGTGTTTCGCATGTGTGCCGAGAATTAAGAGTTGGGAGGCAGCACAGCGGAGCAAACGCCTTCAAAAGCGTGGTGCACTGCCTGCTCGTAATAAAGTAACAGGAGACAAGGCTTCGCCTCCTTGACATGTTCAGAGCAATTTCCAGTTGAAAAAGGTCAGCGTATCATTTACAGAGCGGCAGTGCCTGGAAAACTCTCGTAACTCTGCTCCGCGAAACCTTCTGGGTGACAATAACAGCCTGGGCATCGCTGCCGAGGCCGGCGCTCGGAGCTGCTCCACTCCGCTCCGGACAGTGCCCGCTGCCCGAGCTTAGGCACTGCCCCAGCTCCAGGGGCACGGCTGTGAAACGACCTAAAAGAGGTGCCTGAAGCCCTGGCGAACGGGATGGAGCGGGGCAGGGGGAGCAATCCTGAACGCGGGTGATACTCGAGCGCTACTTTTGACCCTCGCTCGGGGACGCGCTGACAGCGTCGGCTGCCGCTGCCCTGCTCAGGGATGCCGCTGTCACCGCCTCGGCAAGGCGCCACGGCAGAGGCGCGCGACGCGTTTTTAGGTGCACAGCACGATGTAAAAAACCCCAAAGCAGCAGCCCAAGCAGTCCCAAATCCCTTCGAAGAGCGCACACACACACACGCCCTCAGCCCCCCGAGCTCGGCGCCCGCCCACCGCCCCTCACACACTCGACGCCGTCGGGGGCCCGGCGCCCGGCAGGGCCCGCCCCGCGGCGCAGCGGGCCGAGCCCACGGACGCGGCCGGGCCCGCGGGACGGCGCGGGGAGGGCGGGCGCCCCGCGGGGCGAGCGGGGGCTCGGCGCGGCGCCTCCCCGCCGGCAGCGGGCGCTGTGACTCACCGCCAGGAGCGCCGAGGCGCGCTGCTCCCCCGCTGGCTGCTCCCCGTTGATGCCGCCGTTGCCGAGGAGGTGCTGGTGGTAGTCCGGGGGCGCCGCGCCGGCGGCAGCGGCGGCGGCGGGGGCGGCGGCCGCCTTGGGGTGCTTGCCGGCCTTGCGGGCGCCCTGTCCCTGCTGCACGAGGTGGAGGAGCTGCAAGGTGCTCTCCCGCTCGCGGTCGGAGCTCTCGGCGCGGCCCCGCTCGTAGCGCCCCTCGCAGCTGAGGTGGTGCTGGCGGCAGACGGCGATGCGGGCCCGCAGCCGCTCCACGATGGCGCTGTGCACCCGGGGCGCCGCCGGGCCCCCCCCCAGCAGCCCGGCCCCCAGCCCCGCGGCCTGGGGGGGAGCCGTGTCGCCCATCGCTGGCTGCCGGTCCTGGCCCTCCGGATGGGTCGGTCCTCACTGCCGCATGGAGGAGGGCGGGGGGGATGGGGGGGGAGGCGGGGGCAGCGGCGGGAGCCCGAGCCCGGGGGCTGGCGGCGGGGCGGAGGGCGGTCAGCCCCGCGCCCCCAGCCCACCCCCGCCCGGCCCCCGGGCGGTGACGGCCCCGCGGGGGGTTGACAGATCGGGGGGCGGGAGGGGGTCGCTAGGGCTGCGCCAGCATCGGCCGGCGGGAGGGGCGGGGGTCGGGGCCAGGCAGCCCCGGCCGAGGGGCGCCCGGTGAGGGGGGGACGGCGGGGCTCCGCCGGGGGAAGAGAACGGGGGGAAAAAAAAGCCAAATAAAGCGAGCCGCTGCCTTCAAAATGAATCCCTGGACGAAGGAGATCTCCGTCGGGAATGAGTGAGACTTGGCAGGTTTATTGGGTTTATTTTATTTCGGGGGAGCGGGGGGTGTTATTCCTTGAAGTGAAAATTTAAGGCATTGCCGTGGTCGGCGGCGCGGAGAAACCCCCGGCGGACCGAAAATCTCGTAGGTTAGCTGGAGTGGGTTTGTTGGGGTCTCTCTCTCTCTCTCTCTCTCTCTCTCTCTTTTTTTTTCTTTTTCTTTTAAGTCTTTAGTAAATGTGCAAATAAAGAGCCGGGGAAGGAGGAGAAAGAGGAGGAGGGTCGGGTTAGTTCAGTCTTTGTGCTTTCTCGCTTCTCTCGCCCGCTCGTTGCTGGCCACTCTGCGGCGTGGTGACTGTGTCCGGCTGGCTGCCGCTAAACTGTAGTTCCTCTAAAAATCAGAGAGACAGATCCCCCGGTCCGGAACAATGTCAGTCAGTGGATTTCCAAACCACGATTCGCCTTCACTTAATTCAGCCACTGGATAAATCCGTATTGCTTTCAGTGCTCATCTCCCCGCTTAGTATTAAGCAGCAAGCTACGGACACAGGCAAAGAACTCCTCTCGCGTACTTTCCCTTTTACTCCCAGATATCGAACAGTTTCAAGTACAGTTTCAAGAAAAGCACGGAGGAGGGGGGAGAAGGGGAAGAGGGGGGAAAAAACCCCACACAAGCAACCCAGCCCCTCTTCAGACAGTAATTACAAACGGAGAGTTGCACTTACAAACTTCCAGCATTTTGCCCCCAGAACAGTCCAGCAGCCACTTTTCCTTTGTGTTTTTGTATATTCCATGCCCGCGCCGGCGGGCGGGTGTTTGCGGAGCGCTGTCGGCGCTGCCGGTGCCGGAGCTGCCCGCGGCCCCTCCGTGCGGCGCGGCGCGGAGCAGCGCGGAGCGGAGCGGGGGCGGGAGGCGGGTGTCACCGACACACAGCGCGGCCGGGGACGCGGCGCCCGCGAGGCCGGGGCGAGGCGCGGAGCCTCCCAGCGGCCGCCGAGGGGAGTCGGGCTGCCGCTGCCGCTCCCCGGGAGGTACGAGCATGGGAGGAAGCCAAGGAAATCCCCGCTCCCCTCCTCGCCTTCTACCTGGGTGCCGCGCCGGGCGCGGAGTAGCTGCCGAGGAGCGCAGCCTCCCGCGCTCTCCTTCCTCCCCCGGCGGCGAGCCTTCAGGCGAGTACGAGGGAGTTCTCAAATAAATCACAGCGCTGCGCTCCTCTACCAGCTGGATTTCTCTGGAACAGACAGTATAAAAACAAGCAGCGCGTTCTAGGGCGCTCGCATGCACGGGACCAGTGCACGACACGAGGTCAGGTTCGGGATGTGGGAGCTCCGCGCTGACAGGAGCTTCTTGGGTGTCCGGGGCAAGTCACGTAGCGCCTGCACTGTGGTTCCTCCCCGGGAAAGCCGCAGGCTTAGTGCTTCTTTCGCCCGGCTCCTCTATTTAGAGCAGGGCAATTTTAGACTGCGAGATCTGGCCTCTGGAGCTGGCCTTGCTGGAACTGGCAGCCGTCAGGTTCTGCGTGTTGGTGTAGGTGAGCTGCAAAGGAGGATGCAGAAATAGCTGGGAGCTGGCCGGCTTTATTAAAGCAATATGCTGTTGTACTACTGTGGCTGCATTAGCCAAATTCCCAAATACCTCTGGTAATAATAAAAATGGCCCCCAAGCACACAGAGACACATCCCTGATGGAAAACCTCCAAGGTCTTTTGGGACTGTACAGCCCTTAGTAGATGGGTGCATTATCTCTTTCAGTTCTGCAACGGGTCCAGTCAGAAAAATACACAAATTTCATCTCAGCATACCGAGACCATTAAGCTGAGGATGAGGAGGAACTGACAATAACCCTCTCAGGTGTTTTTATCCCCTTCCAAGGTCATGCAAATAAATACTTTGAATGCCAGTGATGAAGTGACACATTCCTGGAAAATCCCCCAGAATATAAAAGGTATGCAGCATTAGACATACGGGAAATATAAAACCCCTCACTTTCATGACCCCCATCTCCTTCATGCAGCAACAAACATCAGGGTTTATTGCAAGATGTGGGTTTCCAGGTTCTGGCTTGGTGAGCATCAGCCAGAGCCTCCAGCCCCATGTTTGTTTCAGCAAATGCTTTGAGACTTTGCTGAGGGATAAGGTCTGTGGGAGAGGGTTTGGGGCTGTGCTGCCTTCAGAGGAAGGCATTATTGCTAACAGGAAAAGCGTTTTTTGTTGTTGTTTAACCTTGAACAACTGAGGAAGAGTGGGTTATTATTTGATATGTAACAGTAGCTTGAATCTGTTGAGAACAGTGGGTTGGCACAGCTGGAAAATGAAATTATAATGTTTGTAAAATAGTAGACAATGTTACCTTTGCTTCAGGCCTTGCTTGGGCTTTTATTTGTTCTGTACAGCTCAGATGTCATTACTGTGCTTAAGGGGGTCAGTCACAGAACACACGTGCAACAGTAGCACACGAATCTCATGGAGAATAAGTGAGAGTGTTTTAAATGATGGCTAATCTGTTTTTCAAAGTGGCTGTGGGAACATGAAATCCATGGTGCTGCTCCGGAAGCTACCAAGACAGCTGGAGGAATTCTCTCTCTCGCTCTTACAAGACTTCATAGAACTCAGAGAGTGATCTTTCCAAGCAAAGATTTTTTTTTTTTTTTAATTTTAACTTGAGACGTTTAAGATGCGCTTTTTGCCAAGCAGCATCTCTAGAGTTCGGTTTGCGTGTGATCTCTCCCTTCCGAGGCGAGAGGCAGCGGCTGCGGGGCTGCGCGGCGAGCCCCGCTCGCTCAATCCGCAGCAAATGCTGCCCCTGGCGTTTCCGAGCAGGAAATACCCCACAGCCATCCCTCGGCTTCCCAAGTTTTGTTCAGGAGACCCTGGCGAATGTCACCAACCCCTGGATACTGCCATCAGTCTTGGACTGGTCGGCTGTCAATTTAATTAAAAGCAAACGGTTCTTAACACGTTGTAGCATCCATTGCGATTAGTGGCATTCTCATAAGCACACTCAGGATAAAACAACCTAAGAGGTCCTTGAACAATTAATTACTTTATTCCTTCTGTTGACAGTAATTTGTGACCTTTTTACCTGACATTGTAATCTCACCTGAACTGTCATGCTTGAGCATTTTTTTCTGTTTGAATTCCCTACTGCTGTTGAAGCTCTGAGTTTCCCAAAGCAGCAGCCCTCTCCAGATGAGAAAAGCACTTATTTGTGCTGGGTTCACAGCCAGGAATTCTCACCATAGACATCCCATCGTGCTAATAACTTTCCAAAATAGAACAAAAAGATTGTGCTGAACCTATGTCACCTAAAATCTTGAGTGCATGCTTCAGTCTCAGCACATTCCTCATTCCTCTGTGCTTAGAAATCACATATCAAATTGCTTCAAAGTTACATTAACTCCACTGGAATGGCATATACTTAATATCAATCCTACAGAGGACTTTCTGAACTCGGAGCTTTGAATTTTCAGCCGTTTCCATTATTTACTTTTCAGTGAGAGTTCTTTGCCCTTTGCCATTTTGATTTCTTGGGGTATTCCCTGCTAGGCTCATGTACGATGCTGCTCACCTGGCAAATTGTTTAACTTTGAAGCAGAGTCTGACTGCACCTGAGTCAGTTTTCTCATCTTTAAATTTTGGGCACAAGCTGCTTGCAATTGCTGATTTAAACTGTGAAGTAAGAAATCTTGAACAGAGCATTTATGTTTGTTTGTTGGGATTTTGTTTGTTGTTTTTTGGGTTTTTTTAACTAATAATAATTAATCCACAGAAACAGTGTTTATGTCTTATTTAATAAACAATAGGGGAAGAAACCCCAAACAATCCCATGCCACCACTTACTACCTAGACAATTACCAAAATTCACATCAACTATTCAGGGAAGTGGAACCACTGATGGGGTTATTATCAGGTTCTTTTAATGTAATTTCACATATTTCTCATATTCTCTTCGGCTGGTAGATCATACTTTTTTACATTCTTTTGTCTAATCTCTGAATTCAGATTAGAAATTGGTATTTTTCTTCTCAAATCAGAATCAGAAAGGCAACTTTTTGAAGACTACTTTATGTGTGCCGGATATTTCTCTTGGAATGGTATTGTATTTACAAGTGTTTGTGTAGCACACATGCACACTAGCACACTGTTTATCCAGACAGACTTAAAAACGGCTAAAACTAGAAGCCTTTATTTATCCAAATAAATGTAAACTAGAGGAGTTAAGCATGGGAATCGCCTGTAATTGCCTGCTGAAGTGCTAAAAATAGCTGCTTTTTGGAAACAGGAGAAGCCTTCTGTCGAAAAAGTGGCAGTAACAGCTATCTACTATTAGCAAACAACTTTCTTTCCAAAAACTGAAGGACACAGAGGGAGAAAAATCGTTTCTTTTCATACTTCACTGCAAAAACTGGACAGAATATAGACCAAAAAGAACCTCCTGTCCCTGAAGTACATCATGTTAGTCAGCCTGATCCTTGCATAAATACCTTGTGTGAACTTCATCATTATCACCATCTCTAGTTACAGAACTTAAACTGGAGCAGATTATCAAAACATTACAGGAACTAAAGCAATTTCCAAGTATGATCATCAATCTCA